TTTATTCTTGCTATTACTTTTCAATATTTATATTTTTTGTTCAAAAATAATTTTTTAAATTATTATAATAAATAGTTATTATTAAACTATTTAAAATTTGTTCGTGATTATCATTCTCTGCTATGTGGGAATTTTATTAGTTTAAGTGCCGTAAAGTTAACTTCGCGCACCCGACATTCGCAATACTTTAATACCAAAACCCTAAGAGATAATGCTCTTTATGTGTTTGTTCAACATATCCGACATTATCCAGTTCAGCTCGCTATGGCGAGTCAAATTCTACTGCCATTTCTTGGCTTAACCGTAATGGATGCTCATTTCATATACCCCACACGCACGCGTGTTGCATGTAATGTAATGCATTTTGTATGCTGCAACGTGAATGCCGGAAGGATAGCAGATACAAAAGGCGTTATGCCTTTATTTTCTAAAATACACATACACACGCACAGAAAATAAGAAGAAATATGAAGAGCACAATGTGAGCAATACCGTAGTACCGTAACGCCATTTCTTGGCTAAAAATTCAGCGTGCCACACACGCCTGCAACAATGTGCATTTATATGCTCAACAGCATGCTACATGCATGCATACAACGACATGAGGCAACATAGGGCATCTTGCAACAACTGTAATGGAGGTTGCTTTGGCTACAGCCTTGGTTACAGCGAGACGCACACTTCTATGCAGCACTACGCCGCATACAGATAAAAGTGTTCAGCGCTGCTTGCAGTTTTGCGCATTTTGCTTGTTGCAACACAATGAGAAAATATCAGCAAACGCGCATAAACGCGTGTGCCACGTGAGGTGTTCAGCCACTGCCTGGTGTTTGCTTATGAGCTCGAATTATCCAGTTTTCCTCGTTGTGCAATGACAATGAAAGTGCAACAACAACAACAACAACAACGCCAACAATTCTCAACTTGTACATTATATATGGAGACTTGCAAGAAGTGTTCAGGTGTGTGTTTGTGTGTGTGGCAACGTCTAGCTGGTGTTGTAAACTTTTATTGCGTTGCAAGTCTGCACTCGCGTTTTACTTTACACCGTTATAACGGGCGTTAGGGTTATAGATATATATTTACATATACATAAGTCCTTACACATGCATATATGTGTACTATATCTGTGTCTGTATGCGTAAATGCAATGTGTGCTCGCACCCGAATGGCCGCCCGTGCGCCATACATTTTTATTTACGTAAGTAATTTAAGTTTGTGTTAAGTATCCATAACTGCAATTCTACAATGTTTGGTCATAATTTAATTAAGCAACTTGTTTACGTGAAATTTTATGAGGCCAACCAGTGGTGAGCTGCAGTGTTGTTGTGTGGCGGCAAGTGCATGTGCGTGCGCGGGAATCGGTGTTGTGTGTTGCCACAGCGCTTAATTGTTATTTTATGACAGTCACCGTAGTTGCCACATAAAAGTAGCCGTTTTTGCTTGAGTGTTTAATTTGAAGTTATTAAAAAGTGCATTTGAGCGCGTTAAGTGAAGTAGTTACTATCGTTTAACTCACACAGTGCAAGAGTAATTTTCATAACTTAACGAAATCGATTAAATGTAGTTTTATGGAGCATGTTGTTGCACGTGGTGGGCAATAAAATCATGTTTGTTGAGGAAGATGGGGCATTCATAAAACAGTTTTAAAGGGAAAGGAGTGAATTGGTCCATACATATATCGAACTCGCCCTTGAAAACTCGTGAGTTGAAATATTTAGTTTTTATAATTCAGTTGTACTCGAAAACATAAACTTACCAATATAAAAGTAGATGTAGACCATAAAGTTGGTACATACCTTTTGTAATCTGAAATAAAAAWAAAGGAAAAAAAAAATCAGTATTACTATCATTTGCAAAAAAAAAAAAATAATATAATACAAATTTTAATAATAAATGGCCCTTAACTTTTTTTTATAAACTAATTTTTTTTTTAATTTTTGTTGGCAGAGTTCTTAGTTCAACTGTTCATTCAAGACTTATTTTACAAAATTGATTGGTTAAATATGATACATATACAATATAGTGTATTCATATGGAATATCTAACTTATTCGTATTACATTTTCGGACAAAGCCCTCTTAGGAAATATATTACTGGTTACATTTTCAACCATTTTTTTTACATAATTTTTTTAAATTTTTTAAAATAATTTTTCTATAACTTTTTTCTAAAATAAATTTTTTAAATTTTTTAAAATCATTTTTCTATAACTT